TGAAAGCGGCGGCTCTAGGCTTCTGGTTGGGTTATGTACGTACAGTCACTGTGGGGCAGATGTCATCGATGCACTTATTGATGAAGCCTGTGACTGATGTGGTGTACTCCTCAATGCCATCTGAAGAATCCCGGAACATATTCCAGTCTGTGCTAGCAAAACAGTCCTGTAGCTTAGCATCTGCTTCATCTGACCACTTTTTGATGCTATATGAAAGTAAAGGGCTTTATGTTTCTAGAACCACTGGACTAGGGTACTCCAGCCAGATCAAAATGTAGTTGGTTGTACAGTAAACTAAAAAGGTTGGGAACCACTGGGCTAGGACAGTAAACTAAAAAGGTTGGGAACCACTGGGCTAGGGTAGTCGGGGCAGAGCAAAGTTAGTCGTACAGTAGCTCTCGAAAACTCTAGGCGGCATTCTGCTTTCTCCCTACAGTTCTCAGCCATTAGCTTCACCCACAACTGTCTCATGTGAATTACAATCCAGACGCTGTGATTTAACGTTTAGAAACATCAATAATCATCGCTTGCAATATGGCTTTCGAAACGTATGGCCCTTATCTTTCATCAGCAATGAAAAAAAATGTTTAACAAAAAATACACATACTGTAGCAGTTTTGCACAGATCCATCTGAGGAAACTACACTTCCGCTACACTCCCCGATATAGACTTACACACAGGTGTTCAGAGCATGCTAGATGTCTTCCGTAAACAAGCGCTGTAACATGGAGATATTGCCGTGTGGGAACACTAACCCTAACAAGGTGTGTATCAATTTAACCTTGTTTTTTGATAATTATTTCTCGCTGATATGAAATTTAAGGTCCTTTATGCTTCCAAAACCGTAGTGCAAGCATTTCGCTACACCCGCTACAACATCTGCTAAACACGTGTATGTGGCAAATAACATTTGATTTGATTTAATGTTCAAACCTAACGTCAGGGATCTTAACAAAACTCCCCCCTTCAGAAGACGCCTTCGTCCAATGACTCTTATGAGTAATATTATGGAACTGAGAGTAATGATCAAGGAGTGGTATAGTGACCGAAAAAGGTTGGCAACTACTGTATTACACAAACAGAGTATAGCATTGCACACTCATTATTCACTACATTTAACATGGAAAGTAATTTGCTTCCGTCATTTGGTGCCACTTGCTTTGTTTTCTTACCAACAGGGGTGTGTTGGGGGGGTTGAGCAAAGTCCGAGCAAATGTTGTTCCAGTCAGTTTCATCCTCATCAATGTCCTCAACATCCACGTCCATTTCTAAACAACAAGAAAATTCTCATTTCGATTTTCCATGCGACACATGAACGTCCCTTTGATGTCTTCTTCTGATTCTGGGTTCGTTATTTTGAGCACCAACAAGAGCGTTACTTCTTCTTCTTCAGTGTGGTTTATCGGCGATTGGCATCCAACGTTACGGTGTATTACCGCCACCTACTGTACTGGAGTGTGGGCCAGAGACAGGGAGAAGCTAAAACCTACCCCGTTTCTCTTAAAAAAGATAACAAAATATTTGAGACTATATCTAATGACGTTCTACTCAATATACTCTTTAAACTAATTTCCTGTATCCCCTTCTCCCTCACACTAGATCTCATCCTCTCTCTTTCCCTCTGATACTGCCCACACTATAGCAATACATGCTCCACGGTCTCTGTTTCCTGACAATAATCACACTTTCCTGTTGGATGCTTTCCTATCACATTTCATGTCTTATTCAACTGGCTGTGTCCCACCCTTAATCTTGTAAAAATAGCCTCCTCTCTTCTGTCCCTTCCTGCCGTCCTCCCCTCCCCGACTTTCCTCTGTACTTGAAATAAATGCCTTCCCTTATTATCTCTATTCCACTGCTCCTGCCATCTCTACACCATCACTGTTTATATCAGTATTTTTGCCTCTGCCTTGCTCATTGAAACTTCATTATCAACATCCCCACTACTAAGTGCTTGTTTAGCCTGTTCATCTACTGCCTCGTTCCCCTCCACCCCCACATGGGCTGGGACCCAAGTAAATCTTATCTGAATACCCATCTGTTTAATCCTGCCATGGGTTTGTATCACCTCATAAAGCAGGTATTGTCTGCTATGTGAGCTAAAGGACTGAAGACTCATTAACACTGCACATGAATCAGAGCAAATAACTACTCTGTCTTGTTTGACTTCCTCCACCCACTGCAAGGCCAACAGTATGGCCATCAGCTCCGCTGTATATACAGCCAGATGGGCGGCAGGTAGCTTAGTGGGTAAGAGCGTTGTGCCAGTAACCGAAAGGTCGCTGGTTCTAATCCCCGAGCCGACTAGGTGAAAAATCTGTCGATGTGCCCTTGAGCAAGGCACTTAACCCTAATTGCTCCTGTAAGTCACTCTGGATAAGAGCGTCTGCTAAATGACTAAAAAAAAAAAAAAAAAAAAAAAAAAAAAAAAAAAGATGATCTGTAATACATTTACTGACTTCCACCCCACATTCCTGCACTACAAAAGCTGACCCAGTACGTCCTGTCCTTGGATATTTTGAACCATCTGTGTAAATGGCCACAAAATCCTGATACACAGTTTCCAGACGTCTGTTAAAGAAATTAGCTGGATCAACACCCTCCCTATCTTTCTGTAGTCTCTCCAACACTTCTAGATCAACTACTGGAGACGGGAGTAGCCATGGTGGATTTACAGGAATAACTACCGTTGGACTAAACTCCCTTCCATACAGTCCCATCTCCTTCGCCTGGGTATTACCCACCCACCCAAAGCTCGTGTTCGGTCTTCGCTCATGTTCCCAGTATGCCTGTAAAATCCCTTTCGCAGGATGAGACACCCCATGTCCTTGTAGGTTGACCCAATAATTCATTGCCAGCTGCTGTCTCCTAATCTGCAATGGCATATCCCCCATCTCCACCTGTAATGCAGCCACTGGGGACATCCGAAACGCCCCACTACATGTTCTGAGTCCTTGCCACTGTATGACATCTAGCCTTTCCAGTGAGGTCCGGGCTGCTGAACCATATGCTATACTTCCATAGTCTATTACAGATCGGATCAATGCAACATACATGTTCTTCAATGAGGAACGCCCAGCCCCCCCATTCCTTCCCCATCAGACAGCGCATCACATTTAGCACCTTCTTACACTTTCCCACCACTCTCTCAATGTGTTCTGTCCAGGTCAGTCTAGTGTCAAAGTATACCCCAAGGAACCTGAAGGTCCCCACCCTCTCCAAGTTTCTCCCATATAACCTCAAGCATACCTCATATCCCACCTTCCTCCTGGAAAAGAACACTGTTTGAGTTTTCTCTACAGAGAACCTGAATCCCCACATTAATGCCAAACACTCTACCTCATTAATTGCTTCCTGTACCTTCCTGACTATGTATGGCACATTTCTTCCCCTCTTCCATAAGGCCCCATCATCTGCAAATAACGACCTCCCTATATCCGGCTGTACATGAGAGTAAACATCATTGATCATGATTGAGAACAACAGAGGACTAATCACGCTCCCCTGTGGTGTACCGTTATCCACCAAGTAGCTGCCTGATAAAGACTTCCCCACTCTCACCTGGATAGACCTTCCAAACAGGAAATCCTTTATCCAGTTGTACATTCTTCCTCCTACCCCCATAATATCAAGCTTGATTAACAACCCCTCCTTCCACATCATATCATATGCCTTCTCCACATCAAAAAAGACAGCTACAACAGGCTCCTTGTTCACCTGACCCTTCCTGACCTCTGCTTCTAAGCAGAGCACTGGATCCATAGTTCCCCTACATAGCCCTCTGCTCTCCAGGAAGTAAGTTAGCCTCTCCATAATCATACGTTCCATAATTTTACATACATGTGATGTTAAAGCTATTGGCCGATAGCTTGTTGGCTTCGTTGGATCCTTCCCGGGCATCCGGATTGGTACCACTACTGCCTCCTTCCAACTGCCTGGTAGTTTCCTCTCCTCCCACACTCTGTTGTACAACACCAATACCTTATCCAGTGCCTCATCACTAAGATGGGCCAACATAACATAGCACACCTCATCTTTCCCAGGTGAAGTTAACCCACCCTTACCTATTGCTCTTTTCACCTCTGCCCTGATAAATGGTGCACTCAATGCATCATTTACATCCTCCCTCCTATCCACCACTCCAGGATGCTCATCTCTCGTGTTCTCTCTCCTCCTCTACCCCTCCTCTGACAGATTTTCGGAGCTATGCACTTGGAGAAATGCTTTGGCCATCATCTCTGCTTTGTCCTCATCTGTTACTGCCACATCCTCCCCACTCGTCAACACTGGATAATCCCACTCTCTTCTGACCCCACTCATCCTCTTAATCATCCCCCACACTTCTCCCACAGGTGTCGCCCTTCCAATGGTGTCACAGAACCGATGCCAACATGACCTCTTTGCCTGACGGATAGTTCTCCTCACCATGGCCTGGGCCTGCTTATACTGAATCAGATGTTGGAAGTTATGCGTCCTTTTCAGTACTCTAAATGCCCTGTTCCTACTCCTCACCATTGCCCCACACTCCTCTGTCCACCACGGGACTGCTTTCCTCCTCCTCTTAGGTATAACAAGCGCATTAGCACCACCTACAGTTTTGAAGTACTTCCAGAGTAGCAGACAGGCACGGCCACTGGGTGGCACCAGCCGCTAGGCATATTTGTATTTTATGCCTGAAGAAAGCTTAATCAATTACAGGTGAATTCCCTGTCAATTCATTTGAAATGTGCTAGCTAGACTCTTTACCAAAGCGAACTTATTTCACATGATCATCATCATCATCATCATCATCATCATCATGAATTAAAATAATTGCGCATGGCAGGCCACTAGACTTTTTTTGACAGCATGTCCCGCCACGACGGATGCTATAAAACCCACGTAACACTGACGTCATGACAGTTACATGGTGTTGTGAGTGGGCAACTGATGGAAAGCTTTCACACGTGAATGAATTTTATCAAAAATAGCCGGAGTACAGATAAATTATAACTAGCCGATGTTGCCTTCCATTGGGTTCTTCGCTGAAATAGACTGTCCATTTTTCAGACGTGACCTCTGTAAGCGACCCCACTGTCTGTACAAGCATGTCAAAGACGAGCGAGGAATGTTTGACAACACCCTGTATGGATCACCGGTAACAGCAGCAGCAGGTCAGTCTGCTTTTATTGTAATTTCTTTACATACAATTTCCCCAAAGTGTCTCTTCTTCAGCTTGCCTTTAGTTTTGCCATAGTAGGTATACTACTTAATTGCCACATGCCATTCACAAGTGGAAATTGGCAGTAGCACGTCATCAATTTATAAAATCAATTTGCAACCTGATTACTTATTTTCAATTCGGCCTATAACCTAATTGCAGTAAAGTGCATCAACCTGCCCAGACCATGTTGTAAAGAATTATGTAAGACAAATTAGTTGGCTGCATTTTTTTGACTTTGTTAAAATAGTATGTAGTATAAGTGTAGCAATTTACATTATTCGATTGTTTGATCTTCTTAATGACAAATTAGTTTTCTATTGACTTTTTCTCCATAAACAGGTGTTTGGAAAACTCATTCCACTTCCATCAATGGAGCCCCACAGGTCAATGAAGCCAAAGACACTTGCCTTTTGGAGTTGGAGAGGATCAACAAAGAAATCGAGACTGTGAAGAATGAGGTTGAGAAGGAGCAAAGGAGATTATCCCGTTACCAAACTGTGCAGGTGGACAGTGAAAGAACAGGGTCCAAGAAAGTCTTGATTGCCAAATCTGAAACACCAGGTAAAGATCTGAATGGAAATAGTGTAAAATCTTTACACCGGCAGTCCACTACAGTCTATTCTCCTGCCCGGAGGAAGTATGTGGTTGACAACTCCAAACCGAGGACTGATTTGGAATACGACCCCTTGTCCAACTTCTCAGCTTCTTTGCGATCTAGTGGTTGTTCTGAGTACAAACAAGGTAATGAGCAGAAAGTGAGAGGTAGGCAAGGTGTGAAGAGGACTAGAGAGAATGTTTGTAAGGAGGACCAAACTAAGCCACCTTCTCAAGAGCTCACTGCCTCACCGGCTAGTAGTAACAAGCTAGTTGATGACTCTGAAGAAGAAGAAGGGGTCCTCATCATTGATATTCCACCTCTGGAGAGCGACAGAAAGAAGAGTCGGGCTCAGAAGCCCTGTAAGACCACCACAAACCAATCACAGGAAATCAAAGAGGAAGTCCACCCTATTCCTGTTCCTACTGTGGCTCATGCGCCACTTACTATTCCACTTCCTGTGTCCACTCCTGGTCCTGAAGTAGTCAAAGTCATATCCCCACCTGCAGTGTCTGAGATTGTGAAAGATGATAACCTTAACACTTATGGCCTATCTAGTGTTTCTGCTAGTCAGGAAAATGAAGGTGAACCCAGTGCTGTGAGTGTATTCGATGACTTGTCCAAATGCTTGGAAAACCTGAGGAGTGAAAGTGAGAGAATAGTTTGTTACCAAGAGGCTGAGGCCACTGCGGAAAGCAACGGTGGCACAGAACCTGTATCATCTTTACAGACACGTCACCATAATGATCCAGTTGTTAAGACTGATGTCAACTTACTGATGGCAGAGCCTGTATTGCTTGAACGTGAGCTTGCTTCCAACTGTGTTGAGAACAGTAACCATCTTCAACCCAATGAAGTCTTATATGAACATGTATCTTCACTACCTCATCATGTTTTAGTCCCTCCCTCTGTCTCCTCCCCCCATAAACACCCCATTGAGACCCAGAGAAGTGAGCAGCCAGCAGCACAGAGCTCTGCTCAGAGTTACTGGTCACCTGTACAAAGTGTATCATCAGTGCCATGTCTTCAGAAAATCCCAGGCCAAACTCCAGGGCCAGGGCTTGATTTTGCCCTTCCTAGTCCAGTTCCGGTAGCAAACTTTGTAGAGCAAGCGGCCACTACCGCGGGTATCACCCAATGCCAGCTGTTATATGGGCCAACTACGTCAGGGACTAATGGAGTAGAATTACAATCTGCTTCTTTTGAACAGCCTACCGTGGAAGCAATGAATGAACAAGTTGTTATTGATTCAAGTTCTGAGGAGCTTGAGTATTCTGAGTTATCTGATAGTGACACAATGGAGGAATGCTATCGCATCTTCATGGAGGAAGCCAACAAGGGTGACGAGGGATCCACAGACCAGGCTAGTACACTTGTAAGTGCACACACACACACACACACTGGGTGGGATAGTTGGACAGTTCAATGGAGATAGGAAAATGTTGTCGTTGTGTGTTTTAGGTAGGAGCTGTGGATGTGGAGACACCAGGGTTAGCAGTGAAACCCAAACCGTTGCCAGGACCCAGGAAGAGGGTGGCCCATGTGTCCAGATATACTGAGGTACACTATTGAAGACTCCAACTCAAGCACATGATATACTTTTTACTGTGATTCATGAAACTGTTCTTATTGTAATTGACTGCCTTCCTGTCCTATAGCCGCCAGTGGGCAAAAGCAAAGCCCAGGTGATAGTTCCTTTCCGAGGAGGAGTCCCCCAGTTGTCCAACCCCTCTAAGATCCAGCAGCTGCAGCAGAGGGCCTCCGTGTTGTCCGCTGCTCTAAAAGGAGGCCAGGCGTTCATCTCCTCCAACTCACAGAGAAAAATGGTGACGCTGGCTTCTCCTGCTCATCAGGCCAGTCATCATGCCACCCATCATCCAGTTCAATACCTCATTCACCAGCCAACTCATCACCATACTACTATGCAAAATTGTAAGTAAGAGTCCATAACTGTAATGTGTAAACGATGCTTTTGTATGTGTGAGGAATGTACCAATCACTGCAATTTGAGTTGGAAATGATAAAGTACAACAGGGTGATGTTTCTCTTGGGATGAAAACACACACTTCCAGTCAGTTGGCATGTATATCCTGTTGTACATATTTTTTGTCTGTGTTATGCATCAAAAGATTTCATCTATATTAAATGCATCTAATTTCCATCCGTACATGATACCAAGTCATTGGTTAAATATTTTCCCTGCTAGCCTATGTGAACATCATACCTGTGGGAACAGCCATCCAGGTGGGCAACAACCTGCACTTCATCCTCCCAGAGGGAAGCTACACTCTGCCCATCACTTCAGCTAATTGTCCAGTCACCCCAGTCCAAACCCCAGTCCATACCCCAGTTACCCCTGTTCCTGTACAACCTCAGCCTACTGCCTATATCCCTGCTAAGGTGAGGACCAACATAATGTAAAGGTGGAATGAAATGGCTTTAGTGATTTTTCTTTATATTGACACAGTAAGACTTTACTGAGCAGATTATTTTCATATTGGTTTTCTAAAAAACTGCATGGCAAGGTAATTTGTATTGTGTTTCTCCTCAAGTAAAAAAACAATCATTATTTTGATTTTGTCCTCCCAGCCCATTCCTACCAAACGTAAAGCCAAGACGCGTCCTGAGGTCGGCGCCAAAGTCCCACATGACGTACGGCAGCGCTATGTAAACCTGTTTGTAGAGGAATTCCTCAAAACATCTGTCACTGTACAAGATGCTTTTGAAAAGGTATGTACCAGAGCAGTCAACATTATTTTATCCATGATTATATTAAATGTGAATTGTCATACATGTTGTTTCCATTACTTATTGTTTCAGTGTTTTATGTTGGAAGCTGTGACAGTGTGATTAAACTTTAGGCACTTGCTGAGGAGAAGACTGTGTATGATCGCAGCATCAACAAACTCAAGTATCTGAGTGTTGCCGTGAACGCACTGAAGAGGCTGAAGAACCAGAGCACAGTCTTTGTCAAAGGTGGGAATCTACAGCGACTGAGGGACTGTATCCTAAATTGCTTTTTGATTACTTGCAATAGTATGATATTATATTGTTAAATATCTTCTGTAGTCTATATAAAGTGTTAGAACAAAGATGTGAACAAAGGACATGTTGACATTTTGGGCTTTGCAACTCAAGTTTAATTGTTTCTTGTCTTGACAAGGTAATGGTTGTCTTTATTAGCTGAAATTTGTCTGCTCTTTTGCAGCTGGAAATGAAACCAATGTCCAGATGTCCAGAGGAAATATTCCACTCAATGAAAAAGCACTTTGGGCAAATGGTATCAAGCGTCCCTCAACACACATTTTTATTAAGGGATACGATTTTTTCCCAAGTTCTTATGCTATGTGTCATATCATCTTTACTGCTTTTCTGACACTTCCATTACTAATTTAGCTTTCCTATTCATTTTCTGCTGAAGGAGATGCTGCATTGTATGACAGTTTGAAGGAGCACATTCTGTCAGAGGAGATATTGACGGAGAACAACTATCCTCTTCAGCACCCAGAAAAATCAGGCAGTGCCATACTGTACCGTGAAGACTATAAGAAGGGAATCACTGATCGTGAGTACAGTATGAAGAACTGCATTGTTCAGGTGTATATTGCTGACCGACTGCAAAAATTGACCTCTTGGAATGTGACATATTTAGTCATAAGCATGTATTTTACGTGCTTGGCATAAGCAATACATCCAATATGCCAGGGTAATTCAAATCCTACCCTGGAGGTCCATAATACTGTTGGTTTTCTGTTGTACCTGATAATTAATTGTGCCCACCTGGTGTCCCAGGTCTAAATCAGTCCCTGATTAGAGGGGAACATTGAAAGAAAGCAGTGGCACTGGCTTCGATGGTCCATATTTTAATTTGAGGGCAATTGGCTGTGGTATGTCATTTCCCTAGGACTGGTCTACCTCGGGTATTGTAGTCAACATGGGCCTGTTCATGCTCTATTTTTCATTCCCCATTCCAGAAGAGGGCGTACTTCAGCTTTTATCAGGTCTTTGCATTCAGGGCTCTGTTTAACTCCTGAATTGGCAACTTGTGTTTGTTTTGTTTCTGGGGGAGAAAAGCTTTGAAGAGGATTTGCTGTCGTTGTGGGGCAACTTACTCTGTGAACCAAGCGGGAAAGCACACTCGCAAGGAGGAGTGCAACTACCACTATGGGAAAGGAGTTGAGAAGAAGGGTGAGAGGACATTATGGTATGTTCTACATGTCTCAAAACAGATATTTAATTATGTTTCCGTAACTTGCTATTACTGTACAGTTCCAGGTGGAGTGGAAACACGCTATAGCTGCTGTGAGGGTGTGGCTGGATGCCCTGGATGCCAAGTTTTCAAGGTAAGAAGATGAATGGAGCATTACACTTATTTTCCATAATACCCTTCAAAGATGTCATGAAACATTTTGTATCGCTCACATATGTTTTCCCCCTCAGTTGCATGTCCATGATGCAGTTCGCTTGGATGGCTTTGTCAGTACCCTTCCTAGGCCTGCCTCTGACAAGATCTGCCCGGGTGTGTTCTCAATCGACTGTGAAATGGTGAGATTCAACAGTAACATTCTGGAATTCATAGGCAACATTTTGCATGACATGCCAATTAAGGTTGGGCCGGTGTGTTTTGGATATCAATGTCCACACTGCCACACTAGTGATCTGGTAAAGGTTTTATTGTATGGCTAATAAATTCAGATTTTTTTCAGTGCTACACCACTCAAGGTCTGGAGCTGGCCAGAGTGACTGTTGTCAACTCCAGTTTGCAGGTCATCTATGACACCTTTGTGAAACCTGATAATGAAGTCATTGACTACAACACCAGGTAAGGCCACACAACACTCCAGAATTAATATTGAATCTCGACAGACTGCTTTATTTAATCCAGTATTTAGACGAGGATGCAAGGAAGTCCTTAATGCTCTCTGCTCCTCCAGGTTTTCAGGCATCAATGAAGCTGATGTGAAAGGAACAAGCTCGTCCCTACGTGATGTTCAGGAGACTCTACTGAGCTTTGTCAGTGCAGAGACTATACTGATCGGCTACGGCTTGGAAACTGACCTCTGTGCACTGAAGGTGAGTTGAGCTGCATTATTTGATAACTATTTATTAGTGAATGGACACTATGGAAAGTCTATCAGTAGAATTTCTTTCGAAACAATATCGGTACAACAAATAAAACTACTGTAGAATAAAACGATATTACTACTGCCAATGACAATCTCCTTTGAGCATGCGTTTTAGTCCAGGACTAGGCCTAATCTGTGTCTGGGGAAACTGGCCCATAAAGTTTGTCCCCTGCCTGTCTCAGCTGCTCCACGGCACCGTGGTGGACACCTCTGTGTCGTTCCCCCACCGCCTGGGCCTGCCTCATAAGATGACCCTTCACAACCTGACAGCAGACTACCTGAGGAGGATCATCCAGGAGAGTGGTGGGTCAAACACAAACAAGTCTCTGGCAATGGGGAGGATGTCCATCTACTGTGTCATTAAAGTTTTGTACCGTCAAACTGATCATGGTGAAATCAGGGAAAGATGTTGCATGAATGTTTTTAATGAAAAGTATTTCACAATCCCAACTCTGTCCAGTCACTGCTTACACTTAAATGTGTTCTTAGAACACTAATCAAAAAAGGAACATTGCAGTAGAGATGGAAAATCTGAGAGATCATATTTTGTGTTGTGTAGTAGGCTACAGTCATAAAACGTGTATCCACTAATGTGAGAATCATTCCTAATCCAAGGCTTTCAGATACATGTAAGATATACAGGCCTACATTAGTCTTGCAGTAACAGTGTGTATGGCATTGTTCCTGTCTCTTCCAGTGGGTGGCCATGACTCGGCAGAGGATGCTGCTGCCTGTATGGAGCTCATGCTGTGGAAGGTCAAAGAAGATGGCAAAACTAAACGATGGTGATCTGAATAAAACTGGCATCGCCCACCTTCGTTATTCATGAAATCACAGAGATGTATGTTAAAATGTCACTTATTTGTATTAAGGTGAAGTGTTGGCTCATTTCTTTAAATGGTGTGGGTAGGCTTGGAGAGGGACTGAAATTATATTTGTTATGTCAATTTGTGTTGATTTAGGTGGAATTCATCTTTAACTATGTTATGCTTCTCTTAGTCTCTTATGCCAATGTAATTATTATTTGGGGATGCACTCTGAACACTGGGAAATAATAATATATTGAAAGTAAAAGCACAGTAAAGAAATCTGTTGTGGGGTTTTATTAATATTATTATGATCATGGTTGATGGGAACTGCAGCATTATGCTTTCATAGCCATGTGTGAGATTTGAGAAGGGGAAAAAAAAACACCTGAAGACTATTTACATTTTCAACTGAGGAGATTCGGGTCAACAAGTCCAACATCAAATTAACTCTACGTGAACAAGAAACAGTCCCCTCCCCAGTCTATCTACAATCCTCAACACTTTCAGATGTTATATGTGATGATACATCAAAATGGACAACATAAAACCATGTAATGTCACTGAGGATAAACTATTTCCATAATTATTTATGAACACTTCTCTTGAAGGAATAGGTTCAAATTGTGTGAAGTGTGTCATTTCCTCTACAACCAGGGAATGAACACAAACTTGAACTAAAATAAACAGAACTATCCTACAGAAATGTACAATATGAGACAAAAAAAGTATGATGCTGTTTGGTGGCCATCACTTCTCCCTGATGAGGAAGAAAGTCAAGGAACACAGTATTGAAATAATATTACCTGGTGCTGAACCCATAAAAGTAGAATGAACAGAATGGGCATGGAACCTCTAACCCTGGCAATTTGACTAATAAACTCATGGGTACACTCGCAATGGCTGCCTAATTTCCATGGTAATGTAGAATATTCATTCAAATGATGCTAACTGATGTGGCTCATGCAATGGACAATTTTTTGTAATGTCAATTGAGTTGATTCAACAAATCACAACACATGTTGATGTTTTTACTTCCTGCTTTTATTTCTTGCTCCTATGTGTACACGCAATGGCTGCCAGTCCACCCATTATGCCATCAATAACTTCAATAGAGATGCCCGTTCTATTCATTCTATTTCTATGGCTGAACCTGTCACTCTGCCTTCGTTTTGGACTTGGTTCCATAACAGCAACTCCTGATGCAGAAGAGGCCTGTTTTGATGAAGAGGAGGGTGAGGAGCAGCAGGACAGCCAGAAGCAGTGCCAGCACGTCCAGGCTGTGGTACTGGTACCAGGTGAGCTGGTGGGCCTGGACCCTCAGGTGCCTGGCCCCTCTGTTTCTCATGGTGAACTCCAGCCAGAACACTGCCTCATCCTTAGGACTGATCGGTCTGTCATGATGGATTCTGGACAGCCTCATGGCGTTCTCCTTGTACCTGTTGAGCAATTCTTAGATTACGTAGAATACATAGATCCTTCTATGTATTTAATAAATGAAGAGTATTCATGTGAATATTCATGTGCTCATTTACTCTGTAGCAAAATGAATGTTTGTGAAAATGAGGACAACTTACGATGGGTTATTGATCACAGCATTGAGTCCATCCACAAGGTCCTGGGTTTGCATGGAGTTGAAGTCCATGATGACAGCAGCTCCCTTGGCCTCCATATGGATCATATTGTCTGGCTGGTCAGCAAACATAGGAATTCCCACCATGGGGACCCCGTGGTAAATAGCCTCATAGATTCCATTGGTTCCACCATGGGTGATGAAGGCTCTAGTTTTTGGGTGGCCTTATAGAACAGAAATAGATAAGTTATCCCAAATTTAGACATTCCAAAGATAGTCTCAAATAATGATGTTCAACATCACACTGGTGAATGGATTGGTTTATGCACTATACCAAACAGGAACAATTATGAAATCTTGTTTTTTTTAGAAAAAACCTATAGCTACCCAGCAGGTCGTTCTGTGGGATCCAGTTGTACACTCTGGTGTTGGGAGCCAGAGTCTCAGGTTTCTCCCCACTGTGCCTCCACAAAATCTGGCCATGACAGTGACATATTTATACGTTATTATTGATACTTTATTATATTGAACTGTTTAAGTATGTTACACAAGCTGCACAAGAGAGATGCAACACGTCTACTTGGTTTTCCCTAAATAAGAACCAGTAATTCAACAAATATGGTTAGGGAATGTTCTACAGTAGGTCTATAGGTTCTCTCTGACCTTCTGTGGTATCTGTCCCAGGGCTGAGGCGATCATATTCGCCTTCTCTGTGGTCATGTTCCTGATCATGGACCCCAGAGTGAACACAACAACGCCGTGATCTCCAGAGCTCTGCACAAACTCCTGCAGGTCCTGATGGAACAATAGTCCTCTCACTTCACCACATGGCCATATACAGTGTGGGAAAAAAGTATTTGATCCCCTGCTGATTTTGTACGTTTGCCCACTGACAAAGACATGATCAGTCTATAATTTTAATGGTAGGTTTATTTGAACAGTGAGAGACAGAATAACAACAAAAAAATCCAGAAAAACGCATGTCAAAAATGTTATAAATTGATTTGCATTTTAATGAGGGAAATAAGTATTTGACCCCTCTGCAAAACATGACTTAGTACTTGGTGGCAAAACCCTTGTTGGCAATCACAGAGGTCAGACGTTTCTTGTAGTTGGCCACCAGGTTTGCACACATCTCAGGAGGGATTTTGTCCCACTCCTCTTTGCAGATCTTCTACAAGTCATTAAGGTTTCGAAGGCTGACGTTTGGCAACTCGAACCTTCAGCTCCCTCCACAGATTTTCTATGGGATTAAGGTCTGGAGACTGGCTAGGCCACTCCAGGACCTTAATGTGCTTATTCTTGAGCCACTCCTTTGTTGCCTTGGCCGTGTGTTTTGGGTCATTGTCATGCTGGAATACCCATCCACGACCCATTTGCAATGCCCTGGCTGAGGGAAGGAGGTTCTCACCCAAGATTTGATGGTACATGGCCCCGTCCATCGTCCCTTTGATGCGGTGAAGTTGTCCTGTCCCCTTAGCAGAAAAACACCCCCAAAGCATAATGTTTCCACCTCCATGTTTGACAGTGGGATGGTGTTCTTGGGGTCATAGGCAGCATTCCTCCTCTTCCAAACATGGCGAGTTGAGTTGATGGCAAAGAGCTCGATTTTGGTCTCATATGATTGTTACCAATTGTTTTCTTGGTGACTATGGTCCCAGCTGCCTTGAGATCATTGACAAGATCCTCCTGTGTAGTTCTGGGCTGATTCCTCACCGTTCTCATGATCATTGCAACTCCACAAGGTGAGATCTTGCATGGAGCCCCAGGCAGAGGGAGATTGACAGTTGGTTTGTGTTTCTTCCATTTGCGAATAATCGCACCAACTGTTGTCACCTTCTCACCAAGCTGCTTGGCGATGGTCTTGTAGCCCATTCCAGCCTTGTGTAGGTCTACAATCTTGTCCCTGACATCCTTGGAGAGCTCTTTGGTCTTGGCCATGGTGGAGAGTTTGGAATCTGATTGATTGATTGCTTCTGTGGACAGGTGTTTTTTATACAGGTAACAAACTGAGATTAGGAGCACTCCCTTTAAGAGTCTGCTCCTAATCTCAGCTCGTTACCTGTATAAAAGACACCTGGGAGCCAGAAATCTTTCTGATTGAGAGGGGGTCAAATACTTATTTCCCTCATTAAAATGCAAATCAATTTATAACATTTTTGACATGCGTTTTTCTGGATTTTGTTGTTGTTATTCTGTCTCTCACTGTTCAAATAAACCTACCATTAAAATTATAGACTGATCATTTCGTTGTCAGTGGGCAAACGTACAAAATCAGCAGGGGATCAAATCCTTTTTTCCCTCACTTTATAGAACCCTACTGTATATCTAGCTCTTTATATTGCTCTGTTTCAAACATGTACATGTTAATAATTTTGCAGACGCTCTTATCCCGAGCATAATGACATTAACATGACTATGACATGACATGGCTAAAACATGACCATAATGTACTATGTAGCCTTAGAATTACATTGTGAATGTTACGGATGCTACGTATAAAAACACACTTAGTGTGTTTTGTAGTGATACTGATTTAAGGTAAGTGTGCTTTTGCCATAGCCTACCTCTGGTAAAAGCTTGGCGGGCTTACAGTGGATTCCTCCAACAAACTTGAAGTTTGGGAGGAAAGGTCGGGGGTACTCAAAGTCCCAGTATGTACGGATCAGCCAGAGATCAGCGTTGCCTATCATCTCACAAGCTGTTGTTGGCTTTCCTTTAAAATCAGACATTACAAATGACTACAAATCAGTAGAATGTAAGTAGTATTGGAATTTAAATGTAAATAAATACACTATGCTATGTTATTCTGTGGTTATCATCAATTGTGGCTACCTCATCCAATGATATTGTAACAGCTCACCCATAGCCTCACTGTAGTAGTCATCTATATCACGCCACAGACTGTATATTGTCATGTCCTGGGACGCATAGAACAGGAAATTCAGCAGTCTCTCAGCAAAGCTCATTTTGTCCGTTAATTTTACCATGGCACCGGGGACGTAGGATGGTGGGGCGGGAAGCTGCCCACAGAGCCGCTCCCAGGTGTGGGCGATAGAGAAACGCAGGGTGTACACCAGAGGAAGTCCCAGCATCTCTGCCACCAGCTCACTGCCGGGCCAAATGGGATCAGCTAACAGAAGGTCATACTTGGCCTCTCTCAGTCTCCCCATGACGCTCTCCGACTTTAACAGTCCATCCAAAATCTGCATGTTTAACTGAATTTGTCTTTGTATAAGTTCATAAAGTCTCCAGTGGACCTGCCAGTAGTACAGGTGGTCCATCTCGTACATGGAAAAGTGTATGAACTCCTCAAGGCAATCCTCCAAGGCCTCCACAGAGACTGAGACATTGAAGAGTTGGTAGCTGAAGCGAGAGCGTTCGGTGGGGTCCATGTACGGAGAAGCACTGTGCACCAGTACTGTAACATTGTGTCCTCTGTCTGTCAGAGTCTCCAATACAGGCTTGAGGTTGATCCAGTGACTGCCTTCAGTGTGCCAAACTAATATGTTTCCACAGTCTATACTCCCTATGATACATAACTGTATGATTATACAAACCGGTATGCACTCTGCCAACTTCATGGTGAGTGTGTAGACAGTGTCTATAATCAATTCTTTTTAAACTAGTCATTCAAGTCAAGCAATCATTAACTGAAGAACTTGAACTCTGAATCATAGTAGTACTCGTCTTATGTCATGCCACTAGGTAGAAGAGCAAACCGCTGGACTTTGGGGGTGGAAGGTAAAAGCCTACATTGTAAATCTAAACAGAGTTAACAAACAGAGAAAGTCAACAGAGTAAAACAAATATAAAAGTGTATAGAAGTCATCATTTGAAATGTATGTGTTACTATTATGTGAGTGACAAACTATTATAATTGGGAATATATATTTCTAAACTAAGTTAACTTCCTCACTAACTACAGTATAGTTTATTTTATATGACCCTATCTCTGTTTAGCAAGTGAGATGTAGCAGCATAGTGTCAGGTGAATTAGGCAGCTGGTTTGAGTGTGGGGCCACAGGGTTCTCCCAGGGTCAGGGTTGGGTGAATAGACAGGGTATACCAGCCTTTAGGAAGCTGTGGTATTGTGGCTGTTTTTCTCTGGGAAATAATGGTCCTCGGCTACTGTTGCTGTGAAGGATGTAGGTATTATATACAGTACATGTGGTCTGCAGAGCTTTTAGCGCAGAGTGTTTATTATTTTTTTTGTTAAATTTTTTCTTCTTCTGGGGGATGGATCAGCTTAATATTACAGATAGATTGTATCAATGTAATTGTCTGCATCATTTCCAATCCCCCATGTTTTTTTTTATATATACTCCCCTTTATTACTTTTCAACCCCGCCATCCTTTCCCTACTTGGAGTAAATTAGTGAACAACAATGCCCAGGCCTCTACTTCCGGCCTATACTTACTATCTACACCTTATGGACACAGTTAATTTTACAATAATTATATTATATATATATTTTTTTTATGTTTTTTATATTTTTTGCTCCTGAACTTCTACTCTCAACCTCTCCGATCATTTGCATGATGTCTATCCGGTTTGCTTCTATATGCCATATCTTTCTAACTGTGCTCTTTTCCAAAAGATCCCAACATACAACCCATATACTTATTATGGACACAGTATGCTTACATTATTAGCTATCTTTGTTATTATTTGTTGTTATTTGTTATTAGTCCCATCCTTCAACTCTATTCAATACCTCCCATCTATCTCGTAACACCATCCATATAGGATTTCTATTTGCCATATATATTTCAACCGTACTGTGATGTTTTACAAAAGTTCTAAACCTTTCTATTCTCATGGCTTCTACAGATTGTGAATTAAAAATAAACATTTTTGCTAAAAGTATTATTATATTATTGATCGATTGACTATGACTTTTCAGATCACCCAGTAATGCTATCTGCAAGGTTAGCTCCAGGTAAATATTGCAATCCTTTAGTCATTCCTGACCTGTGTCCAAAAACAAGTTACAAATGGACAGAACCAAAACAAATGATCTAATGATTCTGTCTCTTCACAGCAAAATCTGCAGAGCTGGGAAGATTGTATCCCCCATATAAATAACATTCTTTTGGTAGCAAGAATTTTATATAATAATTTAAATTGAAAGATTCTAATTTTTGAATCCGGTGTCGTTTTGCGTGTCAGTTCATAAACACTATGCCATGGGATCGGTACGTCAAACATCTCTTCCCAACTATTTTGCAATCTATATGGGACGGCTGTCAATCCTTTGGTCCTTAAGTGAAACTGATATACTTTTTTATTTATCACAGTTTTCCTTAACCAAGCGCGGAGTGTTTGATATATACTTGTGAACAAGATTTACTGGAAGTTGTTCTTCTCTAAACGGCTGCCTCTGCTGTCCTTCCTCTCTAACCATCCCTGGTACTTCCCTCCCAACTCTCTCTCTCCCTCTCGCTCGCTCCCTCCCTCCCTCCCTCCCTCCCTCCCTCCCTCCCTCCCTCCCTCCTCTCCTCTCTCTCTCTCTCTCTCTCTCTCTCTCTCTCTCTCTCTCTCTCTCTCTCTCTCTCTCTCTCTCTCTCTCTCTCTCTCTCTCTCTCTCTCTCTCTCTCTCTCAGTGTCTGGGTTTGCGTTACAGCATGTTGCTTTTTGAAGTTTACATTTGCATAATCTGATTAGAATGTGGGATTGTCAATGGCGGGCCCTGTAAGAAAGTGCTCCAGAGGAGAGGGTGCTGTCCAGCCAACAATGGGGTGCCCCTTCCCCCGATGAGCCTGCACCTGCATCCATCCCTCATTGGGCTGCCTTCCTCTCCCTGTCCGCGCTGGGGGAAGACCAGAGCAATGGAGAGGAAGAAAAGAGGGTGAGGAAAGGAGGGGATGGGGAAGGAGGAGGGGTGGGGCTGAAATATTTAAACATGCAGTGTGAATTGGTTTAAGGGGATAAAGAGCTCAGGGCCTATCGGTTGGCACCCAGCTCCAGAAATTATTTTCATGGCGCCTCAGCCAGGAGAGAGAGGGCTTGCCTGCACTGATCTGGTCCATTGTGATAACAGATTCACGCAGTGTGCTAGACGTAGATAAGGAAATGTGCTCTCAATAGACCATTACCTCCATACTTGGGAGAGAATAGTCAATCAGGCAAATATACTTGGATGAGGAGATGAGCAGAATACAGATTTGATTTTCAGTAGCTAGTGAGTTTGACATTATCCTGCTAAAAAGTTGTCCGAGAAAAATCTACTGTGTTTGGATGTTTTCTGCCAATAACGTGCATAAATGACTGTAAATGACACAATGATTCAATATGATTACACTGAAGGCCTATGTGTTGTGTTTAAAATGTTAATTTGTTTGGCCTTAAAAGAGTGCTATAGTTTGCTGAGCAACAACAAATCCATGTACTGCATCATGTCTGCATTTTCCTACCATGTATACTGAGTGTACAAAACATTAGGAACACCTTCCTAGCATTGAGTTGCACCCCCTTTTGCCCTCAGAACACCCTCAATTTGTCAGGGCATGGACTCTACAAGAAAGCATTGCACAGGGATGCTGGCCCATGTTGACTCCAATGATACCCACAGTTGTGTCAAGTTGGCTGGATGTCCTTTGGGTGGTGGATCATTCTTGATACTCACAGGAAACTGTTGAGCTTAAAAAAACAAGCACCTACTACCACACCCTGTTCAAAGGCACTTTTGAATTGCCCCTTCACCCTCTGAATGGCACACATACACAATCCACGTCTCAATTGTCTCAAGGCTTAAACATCCTTCTTTAACCTGTCTCCTCCCCTTCATATACACTGATTGAAGTGGATTTAACAAGTCACATCAATAAGGGATCATAACTTTCACCTGGATTCATCTGGTCAGTCTATGTCATGGAAAGAGCAGGTGTTCCTAATGTTTTGTACATTCAGTATATTAATACTAGCACAACAAAAAGGCACGGACGTAGATACATGGTAAATAACCTGAATACTGTATTGTAATTGAGGATGGATTAATGGGGAGATAACTGTATAGAGAACCTGTTGGTACTGTAGTACAATCGTCCCAATGCAGTATGACTCTAGTCTAGTGTATCCCCAATGGATTAAAGGGATAGATCACCCAAATTACAAAATGGCACATTGGTGTCCTTAACCTGTAAGCAGTCTATGGACAAGTTATGACAGCAATCCATACCTTGGTTTTATTTCCCTGGCACTGTTTCCAAATGCTAACATTTTAGAATTTGTGGCACAAATCCCATTCAAGTCATGGTACTGATATATGCATTTTTTTAAACATAATTTCTAAATCATCCAAAAGTATCTCATATTGATTGTGAAGCTAAATAAAATCACTTACAGCTGATTTGAACATAATACGTGAAAAATGCTCATATCGGTACCTTGGGAATGGGATTTGTGCCACAAATGCTAAAACGTTAGCATTTGTAGACAGTGTCAGGGAAACTAAACCAAAGCATGGATTGCTGTCATACATTGTCCATAGACTTCTTACAGGGTAGGAAACCAATATAATGTTGTAATTTGGGTGAACTATCCCTTTAAGAGCAGTCACCTGTCCATTCCCACGGGCTGTATGCCTGTGTTCAGCAGCTGCACATTGCTCCGTTTACACACCATTAGCAGGTTTAATTGTGGTGGAGAAAAGGCCTAAAGCCTTAAACCAACTCACTGTTTACTCTTCAGCTCAGTAGTTGCAGCCTGTTGGCACTGGCAGGACATGGGGCAGATTTAAACAGTGACAATAGGTGATTAGTAGCCTGGTTAAATGTTAAACAATGGTGATCTCCGCATTCAGGCTGGTTTAACCAGGCTAAGTGATTTGGGCTGTAGATGTGTGACCTTGGGGTATAATCGTCTTCTTAGTTGATGACATCATGGCCAACACAAGGGTGAAACAAGGAAACTGTTTTCTTTTTGTTTACGTTTGTTCACAAATCGGTGGCACTTTCATTTACATTATTGTTTCCACTGGTATTTTCTTCGTAAATATATTTTTGGGAAATTATGTGGGGGTAACAATGGGTACTTACTGGTACTTACTTGACAAAATAGATCTGTTAATTTGTGTATTTAACAGATGGCCTTTTTTCTCAAAAAATTATTTTTTATGTGTTGTAAGGTTATGTATGTCTTTAAATCTAATTTCACAGTTCTTACATAATAATCCATGATTAGAGCCTAGAGGGAAATTCAGTAATTCAAGTCTATCAAATCTAATATGTGCGTATCCATACCAAGGGCAAATATCCAAATAACGACTGATTCCAATTCAAAAGTTATTGGACAGAGAAATGGCCAAGCCTGTGTAAACTACACTGGCATCTGCCTTCAGTAAGGGGATAAAAACACACCATAGGAGCCCCTCAGGACTAGCAGCGCTGCATCTGCCCGTTGGGTCAGTGGTCAGGGTTTGACTGCATGGTGACCTGTGTGACTGCAGGGCACAAGTTAAGTTGTCCTTTTACTCTTCCCCTCTCTCTGCACTCGGACACTAGATAAGGGTTCAGAGGTCAGGGGTCGTCTCTGTGTCCACACAGTGGTCAGAGGGTTTGTAGTGGACAATCAGAGGGGCGG